GCTGAAATCCTTGGGTCTAACCTTCTGCCTGGACTTAGTCGAAACCCCAAGATCACAGGATTTCAGCCGGCTGAAATCCTTCCAAACCCGGGTTGAGGGGTTGACCCGAGCACGGAACCCATATCTTAATAATTAGAACAGGGCTTTGGGGCCCCAGGGCTTTAAGGGCTTTGGCAGTAATTTATCATGTTGCGACGAGACATGAGACAGTTGGTCTCGCGACTATTTCAGCGCTTAAGGGTGTAGGGTTTAGGGTTGCTGGCCCGATCCTTGAAGCCCTACACGTGATTTGCTGCCACTGGCTGGACTTGTCAAGCGGAATGGTTGCGGGATTCTATGGCACTGCAGCCCCCTGGCTTTGTCTTGTTTTCAATATTGTTGACGTACCATCTCTCCGTTTGAGTGTATGAGTCATATGGGGGTTTCCGAAAATAGGGGACCCTAATATGGTACCCTAAATAGTAGGATCCTTATTATAAGGACCCCAAAATAAGGTACCCTAATTTAGAGAACTACCCATATATTGCGAATGGCTTAAGCAAAACCTACAGGCTAAACATGAGGCAACTGAGTCCGATGCCCTAAACCCCTAAACCCTCAACCCCTCCCAAGCCTCAAATTTAATGAGTGTCGAAAGACTGACAGGTATGAGTTTCAGAACATCCTGTGGGTCGGAGCCTGAAAGAAGTGGACAGGGCAGTCACACGAGACTTTTTGCAAGGGGCCAACGAGATCATGGTCATTCATGATTTGGGTTGGGGGAGGTTTCGGATTCTAGAAGAGGCTTTGAAAAACGGTTGATGTCCAAGCTCCCATTTGCCCGGTTTACCCCAAACCCTTAAGGCAATCAGCATTCATTTTTAGGGCCCTTGAGGCTGAGGGCAAGCGGCATTCGTTTTAGGGCCTGGGGACTGAGATCAAATCCTAAAACAAGATTCTTCCTGAAAGTTTCATACATGAGCACTTTAAAGCTTAACCCCCTAAACCCTCAACCCTAAACCCATAAGGCGTTAACCTGTCTCAGAGGCCAGCTCCTTGCTGCAACCTATTGCAACAGAACTGTACGGTTATATTCACCCAACAGCCTACTCTAGTTATTGAGGCCTCAACCCTAAGCCCTAAACCCTAAACCCCCTCCACTTTGCCAAAGATGGACGGCCGAGGCGTGTGCTCGCCTGGAGTATCAAAGCACGTCGCCTTCTGAAGCCTGGGCCCCGGAGAAGCGTTTGTTTAGGGTTTAGGGTTCTGACAAGGCCGTTGCAAAAAGGGTTTAGGGTTTAGAGTTTAGGGTTTAGGGTTTTAGGGTTGAGGGTGTAGGGTTGAAGTCCCTGGTGACGAGGCCGCATGCTAGAGAGGCCGGGGTAGGTTGTCTATTGCCATAGTCGCGCTTCATAGTCCCCATAAAACTACCGGAAATCTTTGCGTACGACCCATACGTATCTTCATTACAAAGGGTATATGTATGTATCTAGATGTATTTATGCACGTATGTATGCTTGTTTGTTTTATGTGGATTTTCACAAATACAGAACATGTCTAATGTGTGTATGTATATATACATGTGTATATATATATATATACATACACTATATATATATATACACATTATAAATGTATCCTTCCGAATGAGGTCCAACAAATATTGCTTACCCGAGCCACACATACCTGCAAATGGATCAGACGAAATCTCCTGCAGAGGCGGCCTTGAACCAAGCGATTCCGAGACTGCCGGTGGCCGAGCGACAGATGCATCCCTTTACGTCCTGTGCGTTTGGGGTTTAGGGTTCATGGGTTCAGGGTTTAGGGTTTAGGGTTTAGGGTCATGGCTTAGGTACCAGTGGGGTTCAGGGTATTCATTCAGGCCCTAACCATAAACCTTTCAACAAGCTGTGGCTATGGAACCTCGCCTGGCTTGTCCGAGATAAGAGAGCGCAAACTAGCCTTGCCTGCCTTGCACGAGGGGATAGGGATCAACAACAAAAACCGTAAATTCGGATCAGCAAAAAAATGTTTGGATCAGAAAAGAGGAGGAAGGAAGGAAGGAAGGAAGGAAGGAAGGAAGGAAGGAAGGAAGGAAGGAAGGAAGGAAGGAAGGAAGGAAGGAAGGAAGGAAGGACGGAAGGAGGCTAAGAAGCAAACAAGCAAGGAGGGAAGGAAGAAAGGAAGCCCCCTACCAACCTCTGGCACATCCGGGCTGGGCCGTGGCAGCTTCGAGGCTCCCGAACTGCGGCAGCTGCAGAAGATGCAGGGGCTGAGGCTCCCTATCTATGCAAGCTGCAGAAGTTGCAGAGGCTCACTTGCCTAAACTGTCACAACCGGCGAAGTTGCAAACTCCACGACGAAGAAACTGCTAAAGCACAGGTGGTCGGATAGTACGAAAATGCTGTAAATACCGTGCAAGATGCAGGTGCTGCCGAGAAGGTTTTAACACTCCTACAACCTGAAGCGCAACATCTGATAAACATCAATAACCAAGATGCCAGCTGTACGTGGGAGGAGCTCGGCAACACCCCTAAAGCCCTAAAGCCCAGTACTAGTACTAGTACTAGTACTAGTAGTAGTAGTAGTAGTAGTACTACTACTACTACTACTACTACTACTACTGCTACTACTAGTACTACTACTACGACGACGACGACTACCACTACTAGCCTACTACTACTAGCCTACTACTACTACTACTACTACTACTACTACTACTAGCCTACTACTACTACTAGCCTACTACTACTAGCCTACTACTACTACTACTACTACTACTACTACGACGACGACGACGATTACGACAAGCAGTACTCTTTTGTTTCAATATGTTTGACCCATTTTTCAATCCGTCACCCTTATGTTTTCACTAGCCGTATTCCGTAGGTACTGGTTTTATGTTGTTTGATCTTGTTCTTATTCAACTGCTTTTGGATCCTTTTGGCTTCGTTCTTTTGATCCAGATTTAATGTTTTTGGTCCGTCATCCGCACGAGTGTGTGAGTCGAAACCCTTTGTCTATAGGCAGGCAACCCTGAAACCCGTATCCAGACAGTTATCCAGCAAACCCTGATTTGGGTTTAGGGTGTCGGGTCTTTGACTTGGTTGACAGTTGGAAGGGATTTCCGCTGCAGCTGCAGTTTTTCTTATGAGGTGCAGGGGTTGGCAGCGCAGACTGCGATGAGTTGTACTGGCTTGCGCGTGGCCGGAGGTTTCGACAGCCTGAGATGGTATGTGCTTCTTGGAATGTTCACAGAGAGAGATGTGACCAGCCGTGTGCACTCCTACTGTCCTATTTCCTGATGATCCTGGAAGGATATTCTGTTGTGGAGTGTTCGGGCCTGACTGTTGCAGGTTCGGTCTTTGAGTTTTCAAAGTGGTGTGTTTTTCTCTTCATGGATGACGGTTGAGCGATGTTGTAGATGCTGGAGTCCCGCAGTGCAATCCTTCCACTTGTCGCCACGTCACGCTGAGTCTTGCCCTCGCCACATCTCTGCGCAAGATTTGGTTCCTTTCGCGGGGTGTTGAGTATATACAGGGCTCTGTAGGGATGTCGATGCGGGCACGTAACGTAGAATGGTGTCCTTGCAGATGCTGGGAAAAACACCATGAAAGCCCTGCTCCACACTCAGTGCTCTGAAAAGGCTTTGATTCAAAGACTAATCGGGCCATCCATCGACAAACGTGCGTGCTACCTTTTAAGAAACTCCCCACCCAAAAGCGAAGGTTCGCATCCCTGACTCGCTTCACGGCCTGAAACCCAGTCTAAAGCCGGGCCGGTGCCCCCAAAGCCCAAGCACGAAGTCCACCCTAGACCCTAAACCAAAAAACCCTCAGCACTAGAAGAACCCCTATAATTACGCCCTAGACCCTAAACCAGAAACCCTCAGCACTAGAAGAACCCCTATGCCCTTATAAACCTTAAACCCTAAACCCTAAACCCTAAACCCCGAACACACTGGAGGCCTGAAATGCCCCTTCAGAACCTGGTGCGCGGCTCAGAACCCCGGAGAGAGTCCATTTACCTATTAGGGTTTAGGGTTTAGGGTTTAGGGCTTTTTTGTTAAGACGAGCAGGGTTACTTATGTGGACCCCGATGCCATATCGCAGCAGATTTTGCGCTGAAGCCTTCAAACCAAAGCCCCACAACAATGATTTCCGGAGCTTTCCGAGCGTCTGCTGCCGGGTTCACCTGAGGCTGCAGTGTATATACACTCGTTGGCTGGATCTATAGGACTATAGGAACTCTACATCCACGGTTTTGATAGGTAGGGGGAGCACTTATAAAGATAAAACGCCTAGGTCTATCTGTCTATCTATCTGTCGTGTGGAACTCTTCAGGAAGGTTGCATGCGCTAGTTCAAGGCCGAGCCCTTATGTAAAACGGTTTAGGGTTTAGGGTTTAGGGTCTGTAGGGGCTCAAGGAAGATTACGGTACGGAATGGGCCTCAGGAAGTGGCAACAGCATTCCTGAAGAGACTTTCGCCATCACAACTCAACCGAAGCCTAGTTATGAAGCCCATACAGTAGTTTCAGAGATTGAGACTGTGTCGCTTCCGTTGAATAGTTTTCATAGAGCCCGTTTGATTTTTTGATGGAACCCTGCTATTCCTTTTAGGAGCCTTGATAGAACTTTTTAAACCCCCAACAGAACCCCAGATTGAAACCCTAAACCCTAAACACCAACAGAATCCCTTTTTGAAGTCTTGCTTGACCGGGAAGTCGGCTGAGCGGATGACAGACGTGGAGCCACTGAAGACTTGCAAAGAGAGGGTTGAGAGCTTTAGGATTTAGAGCTTAGGGAGTTTAGGGTTTAGGGTTCGGGGCTTAGGACACCCTCAAAGCCCTCATGCAGAAGCCCTAAGCACCTGAGCCCAGCTACATCCTCGACCGAGAGCTAGACCACAAAAAGGAAGACAGGACAGACAAGAAAGGATAGGAAACTTACGAAGCCCAAATCCGCAGAACCTGCCATGGAAAGCGTGGAGTCAATCGTCACGGAACTGCATGAACTCTATCAACGAAGGAAGTGGTTGCGTGACGAGTTGATGCAAGGCAGGATAGTGGAAGATGGTTTTGGGGACGAGCTGGAGGATGAAATACAACATGCCAAAAGGCGACTGCGCACAGCAATGGCCGGCGAGGTACACATCCCGGCGCTCAAGTTCATTGTAAAAAAGAGAGACCCGGAAAAGGATTTCAGGAAAAAAGAATTGAACTCGAACCTTCAAACTATGTCACTCACCGCTCATTCCGGCGTCAAGGTCGTTCGTATTCAACGGGGACCTGCCACTCTCATCGAGATGCCGCGGCACGATGATTTTTTGAAGCCAGGTATAGGTTGCTCTAATCACATTATCCCTGTAGCATGTTGTTTACAGGAGTTCAGAAAGTAGAAGCAAGAAACCCAGTCATGAACCCCCAGGTGATGTGTGCTGGGTGATTCCGATTGTGGCTGCTATAAAGAAGCTGACGGGGGATCTTGAACAGGACATTCTGGATGCTTTCAACGACTTCTTCACTGTCACTGAAGATGAGGAGGACGGAAAAGTTTGCTTCAAAACTGATGCTCAGGGAAAAGCTACAGCACTGGGCGAGTTTGTGAACCTGTTTTGCTAAGGGAGGAGCGCAAGGTGTGAAACTTGCTTGGCTCCCAGCATACCGCTACGATTATCCTCGCCATGCTAAGCCTGCGGCATTGTGCACCATCGGTCAGGCGAAGTCGTTGCTTGAATCCCTTAAAACGAGACCAGAATACTATGATCGGTTCCTGGTGGAAGATGCTGACGGGGCGGAGCTTCAGTTGCGGGTCATGGACATGCGCCGTAGGTACGGGGTCAGTCCCCTTGCACTGTTTCATCCCTGTGGGATGCGGGTCATGGACATGCGCCGTAGGTACGGGGTCAGTCCCCTTGCACTGTTTCATCCCTGTGGGATTCTTGAGATCCCGGAACGGAAGACGACGATCGTCTTCCCGGGCACGCGGCTCGTCTTCTTGGCTTCAGCCCACGAAAAGGTTGACAAAAAGTGCTCTCGATTGACCAGGCTCGGAAGCCCTAGACGGAGGTTTAGGGTTTCGGTAGAAGTTTAGGGTTCAGGGTAGGGAGAGCTCTCGATTGACCAGGCTGGAGGAGAACCAGAAATTGGACGTCGAGCGGGTTCAGGTGGGAGTTTCCGAAAATAAGGGAATCCTTATAGTGGGGATCCTACTTTTTAGGGTGCTATATTAGGGTTCCCTATTTTCGGAAACCCCCAGGTGTCAAGAGACGCTGTCTCTCCTCAGGAGAGGAGTCTGGAGGCGCTCCTAGACTTTACAATGAAGCTTGAAGTGAAGGGTCCGCCCAAAGCCCCGATAAGAAGAGGAGGTAAGGGCAAAAAGGGGAAAGAAGAGGTCACTTTTGCAGAAGTCAAGGCAAGAACAATTTTGCATTGGCTGGACAACAGGGTCAACTGACGGGTCCCCAAAATCGTGCTAATAAATTCAAACAAGGCAAAAAAAAAGCAAAAAAACGTGGTCACGTATATTCTCGCTGTGCCTGTGCGCGATGTTGTTTGGGTTAGCCTTCCGACTTGGTTGGATTGAACACTTTGGTCGGTACCAGTATAGGGCTTGTGAAGGGATGTCGGCAATGTGATCTTCCTGAACTTCGCTTCGGACCTGTCAGCGCGAGGTGGAAAAGGAGCGCCTTTGCTCAGTGCCGCCATGTCTCTGGGTTCAGGATCTTAGTTCTCCAATAGCCAACCTTTAAACTTTTTGGGTTCTTATCAGTTAGTAGTAATCTGAAAGTTTAACCTTTTATTTCCCTGGCTCATTGGGGAAGTAGGGGATTGCATCCTACCTATAGTCTTCATTGTAGTTCTGTTTTGGGGTTACCCGTTTTGGATCGTTAATATAATACTGCCGTAGACCCCGAAACCTAAACCAAACCCCGAAACCCTATATAGACCTGAACTCCTAAACCCCACAGACGATTATAAACTCTAAACCCGAACCCCTAAAACCCTAACCCCTAACACCCTAACACCCTAAAGCCCTAAACCCTAAACCCTAAAACCCTAAACCCTAAAAGCCTAAACCCTTAACCCTATAAACCCTAAACCCCTTTCTGCGAGAAGCCAAAAAGCCCGCGGTTGCCGAACTCTTGAGGCCGGCATGGCGCGATCTGTCGCGCGATCGAAGGCCTGGTCACGCAGCATAGGGCTTGGGTTGAGGGTTTAGAGATTTAGGGTTTATAAGGTTTTAGGGTTTAGGGTTTCAGGGTTTAGGGTTTTAGGGTTTAGAGCTTTAGGGTTTTAGGGTTTTAGGATTTAGGGTTTTGTGATTTAGGGTTTGGGGTTTTAGGGTTTAGGGTTTATGGGTTTACGTTTGTTTAGGGTTGTGGCTTAGGGTTGGGAGAGTTGAGAGCGAATATTGCTGTAGGGCTTACGGTTGCTTGGCGTTTGAGGTTGGGTTGGGGTTTAGGACGGTTTAGGGCGTAGCATGGGGTGGGGTGGAGGAAAGTTTGTTCGAGAGTCTCGATGTGGTCTCGGAGTTTTTCTCCAAGAGGTCTTATAAGCTTTTACATGGGTTCAAGAGGCACGTTGCAAGGATTGGGAGGTTCGGATTTAGCTAGTTTGGGCTGTTGGCTTCAGGGTTTAGGTTTGAGGTGTTAGCTTGAATACAGTTCTATGCAGCCAATAGGTTCAAGTTGGACATTTTAGTTTAAGTCTGAGGATCTTCGTGGTTGATAGTTCGCAATCATGGAATTTAGGGTGTGGCGGCTTACCACTAGCAAGGCGATAGGACACGCTAAAGGGTTGAAGTTTCAGGAAATCTGCTATCGCAAGGTGCCATCACCATGACGCTAACAAGGGAGATATTGTGGCGACACAGACAGAGACCAGGAGGAGGAGGAGGAGGAGGAGGACAGCAAGACGCCGAAGACGATAGTTGCAATGCTCATGTCGACGAACACGCGGGTAACTGTGGGGGGGCGTTGATGATGGCAGTGGTCTATATATCAAACAAGTTCACAGCAAAAGCGCTGACCTAGTATCCTGAACTTTATCTTAATACCTCACTTACATAACTGACGACGGTAAAACCACAACCGCTGAATGAGAGAGCCCACGTAGGACCCACCAGGAACTCACGGAAAAAACAAACACCCTAAATTCCTGCACCCTTAGAACAGAGAGAAGATCCCAGAGTGAGCGCCAAAGCCCCGAAGCCAATAAACTCCTCAGCCCTTATAAACCCTTCCTTCCCTCAAAGCCGACGGTAGGTGACAACCACGCCTTTGCTGAGCGCGACCTCTGCTGCAGCGATGGCCAGCATTAGCAGGCGGGGATGCCGAGGGTTTAGGGTTTGAGAACTATACTATACGCTACTATAATATATACTATATATATATACAGCATATAGGATATACTACATGGTATATACTATAAACTATATACCATATGCTATATACCATATACTATATACCATATACTGTATAATACCAACTACAAACTACAAACTATATACTAGATACTATATACTATACCATAGGGTTTAGGGTTTTAGGGTTTGGGGTTCAGGGTTTAGGGTTTGGGGTTTAAACTGACAGTCTGGGCTTAAGGAAACATGTTAAGGATCTGCAGGGTTTCGGACCTCAGTTATTATGGATCACGCCCCTGCATAAGTACAGCTAATCGTATGCGCGCAAATTTTGGGCTTTTGGGCCAAACCCACTAAACAAGTATAGTTAACTGTTTGGATTTGGGGCTTGTGGACCAAACTCCGCAAGAGTATGGGGCTCTACTATGCGGCATGTGAAGCATAGTCTCTTGTATGATTCGCTGGGTGCGAACAGGTTTTGAGAATCCAGAATAAGAGGGGTCCTTAGTAAAGAATGCTGATCGCCAGATGGCGGAGTCTCGGAAGGGCTCTTTGGGCTTAAGGTTCAAGCTTCAGGCAGTTTCACGGTTCAGGGTTTAGGGCTTATGGCCTCTGTAGTTGGGGTTTTACGGTGCCAGGTCTAGTGCCAGAGTAACAAAAGCAAGAATAAGTAGCCCTTCGTACTACGCCAGTATAACACCCCTATATAACCGTTTGTAAGGCGCAGTACAACTATCATGAACCCAGTCTCCAAACCTAGATTCTTTAGGGGGGCCTTCATGTTAAATTGACCTTTCTTAGCAAAAGATGGCATTAAAGATAACAGCTTTAGATTATCATGCAATTCATTGAGCCCCGGCTTGTCTTTGGCTTCCGAGTCCAGTGTCCATGCCATCGAAGCGATGAATGTCCTCCCAACTTGGACTTTGGTGCCCCAGTGCTAGACCCGATTCAGGGTTCAGGGTTCCACGTGTGAGGGTTTACTTGAACATACCTGGACTTTAGTAGAAAAGCTACGTTTGCAGGGTGCCTTATTCTAATTCTGCTTTCATTACATAAGGCCCTTCGAACGGCAGGCATTCTGGGGTAAACCCTAAACCCCTGCCTACCCCTAAAACCCTAAACTATAAACCCCTAAGCCCCTAAACCCCTAAACCCCTAACCCCTAAACCCCTAAACCCTAAACCCCTAAGCCCTGAACCTCCTGAGCTTTAAACCGAAGATTATTAGGTTACTATCTCTTTCTCGACTGTCGAGGTTGGGAAACCGAGAACTGGCGAGCCTGGGTCTCGAGCCCTTTCGAGCGTCCCTGAGGCCCCCGAAGAGCCCAAAGTAGGCACGTCTTAAAGCTTCTAACTACGGAGTTTTAGGGTCAGATTTTTGCTTTTTTTTTTTTTTTTGGGGGG